ACTGTAATTATCTGTTATTATCAGAAGCTTTACGCTTGGTGGAGACTTTATTAAGAGTAATCGGGTTGTCATAGTTACCTTAGCAATGTATGACTGATACATTGTTATACCGTCTGTCGATCGAGTACAGAAAACCACAAGAAAAAAATGTCACATTTTGGTGAGTACACTACGTTTCAGTTTTGAAATAATTGAGATATATTTTGATTTAATTTTTCACAATCCGTACAACTAAGATTTTTATTAGAATTCTGCCTGTACACGGTTTCATAAGTTTTAAGAATCGAACGATATTTGAAAATAATGGCTGGCGTACATCAACAGATTTGAGATTTCAAAAAAAATAATGCGCCTCTTCTGTATCAATATTGGTCTGTCCATACCTCGACACTTTAAAACAGAACAAGATAATATTCAGTACGGATGTACCTAAATACCACACACGGATTTCTAATTGATAATATATATTTGTATGTTAGAAATTAATGTACGACTTAACGTGTATTATAAGATAATTTGAAAAGTATCTTATCAATTCCACACACCACAAATAGAGTGTAATATAATTTTATACAATGTATAACTACCACACACTCATTAAAATATTAGATTTATTCCTCTATAGATTATACACTATCACACACTTTAAAACATGCATATTTATAGATAATATCCAGTGTGTAAGATAATATTCAGTATGTATCCACTACCACACACTCTCAAACCGGTAAGATAATATTCAGTATGTTTCCACTGCCACACACTCTAAAACGGGTACGATAATATTCAGTATGTATCAACATCCACACACCACAAAAGAGGTAATATAATATTCAGTATGTATCCAATACCTCACACTCTAAACAGGTAAGATAATAATCAGTATGTATCCACTACCACACACTCTAAACAGGTGCGATAATATTCAATATGTATCCACTACCTCACACTCTCAAACTGGTAAGATAACATTCAGTATGTATCCACTACCACAAACTCTAAAACTGATAAGATAATATTCAGTATGTATCTACTACTACACACTCTAAAACAGGTAAAATAATATTCAATATCTATCAACATCCACACACCACAAAAGAGGTAAGATAATATTCAGTATGTATCCACTACCACACACTCTAAAACAGGTACAATAATATTCAGTATGTATCCACTACCACACACTCTAAAGAAGGTAAGATAATTTGCAGTATGTATCAACATCCACACACCACAAAAGAGGTAATATAATATTCCGTATGTATCCACTATCTCACACTCTCAACAGGTAAGATAATATTCAGTATGTATCCACTACCACACACTCTTAAACAGGTTAGATTCTATTCAGTATGTATACACTATCACACACTCTAAAACAGGTAAGATAATATTCGGCAAGATAATATTCAGTATGTATCCACTACCACACACTCTAAAACTGATAAGATAATATTCAGTATGTATCTACTACTACACACTCTAAAACAGGTAAAATAATATTCAATATGTATCCACTACCACACACGCTAAAACAGGTACGATAATATTCAGTATCTATCAACATCCACACACCACAAAAGAGGTAAGATAATATTCAGTATGTATCCAATACCTCACACTCTAAACAGGTAAGATAATAATCAGTATGTATCAACATCCACACACTCTAAAACAGGTAAGATAATATTCAGTATGTATCCATTACCACACACTCTAAAGAAGGTAAGATAATATTCAGTATGTATCCACTACCACACACTCTAAAGAAGGTAAGATAATATTCAGTATGTATCCACTACCACATACTCTAAAGAAGGTAAGATAATTTGCAGTATGTATCCACTACCTCACACTCTAAAACAGGTGAGATAATATTCAGTATGTATCCACTACCACACACTCTAAACTGGTAAGATAATATTCAGTATGTATCCACTACCTCACACTCTAAACAGGTAAGATAATATTCAGTATGTATCCACTACCACACACTCTAAAACAGGTAAGATGATATTCAGTATATATCAACATCCACACACTCTAAACCGGTAAGATAATTTTCAGTCTGTAATAATATCCAAACACTCACTCTAAAAGAGTTATGATTATATTCTGTATGTATCAACAACCTCACACACTGCAATAGGTTAGATGATATTCAGTAGGTATGAAGAACCACATACTCTTAAACAAGTTAGATAATATTCAGTATGTATCAAATACAATACAATCTTAAACAGATAAGAAAATATTCAGTATGTGTTAAGAAGCGTACACTCTCAAACAGGTAAGATTATATTCAGCTTGTATCAACTACCACACACTCTAAACAGGTGCGATAATATTCAATATGTATCCACTACCACACACTCTCAAACCGGTAAGATAATATTCAGTATGTTTCCACTACCACACACTCTAAAACGGGTACGATAATTTTCAGTATGTATCAACATCCACACACCACAAAAGAGGTAATATAATATTCAGTATGTATCCACTACCACACTCTCAAACAGGTAAGATAATATTCAGTATAATTTGCAGTATGTATCCACTACCTCACACTCTCAAACAGGTAGGATAATATTCAGTATGTATCCACTACCACACACTCCAAAACAGGTACAATAATATTCAGTATGTATCAACATCCACACACCAGAAAAGAGGTAACATAATATTCAGTATGTATCCACTACCACACACTCTAAAACAGGTAAGATGATATTCGGTAAGATAATATTCAGTATGTATCCACTACCACACACTCTAAAACAGATAAGATAATATTCAGTATGTATCCACTACCACACACTCTAAAACAGGTAAAATAATATTCAATATGTATCCACTACCACACACTATAAAACAGGTACGATAATATTCAGTATGTATCAGCATCCACACACCACAAAAGAGGTAAGATAATATTCAGTATGTATCCACTACCACACACTCTAAACAGGTAAGATAATATTCAGTATGTATCAACATCCACACACTCTAAAACAGGTACGATAATATTCAGTATGTATCAACATCCACACACCACAAAAGAGGTAAGATAATATTCAGTATGTATCCACTACCACACACTCTAAAACAGGTAAGATAATATTCAGTATGTATCCACTACCACACACTCTAAAAAGGTAAGATAATATTCAGTATGTATCCACTACCACACACTCTAAAGAAGGTAAGATAATATTCAGTATGTATCCACTACCACACACTCTTAAACAGGTTAGATTCTATTCAGTATGTATACACTACCACACACTCTAAAACAGGTAAGATAATATTCGGTAAGATAATATTCAGTATGTATCAACAACCACACTCTCTATTCAGTATGTATCAACAACCACACACTCTAAAACAGGTAATATAATATTTAGTATGTGTTAAGAAACACACACTCTTAAACAGGTTAGATAATATTCAGTATGTATCAACTACAATACAATCTTAAACAGATAAGAAAATATTCAGTATGTGTTAAGAAACACACACTCTCAAACAGGTAAGATAATATTCAGTATGTATCCACTACCACACACTCTCAAACTGGTAAGATAATATTCAGTATGTATCCACTACCACACACTCTCAAACCGGTAAGATAATATTCAGTATGTATCCACTACCACACACTCTAAAACAGGTAAAATAATATTCAATATGTATCCACTACCACAAACGCTAAAACAGGTACGATAATATTCAGTATGTATCAACAACCACACATTCTCAAACAGGTAAGATAATATTCAGTATGTATCCACTACCACACACTCTAAAACAGATAAGATAATATTCAGTATGTATCCACTACCACACACTCTAAAACAGGTACGATAATATTCAGTATGTATCAACATCCACACACCACAAAAGAGGTAAGATAATATTCAGTATGTATCCACTACCACACACTCTAAAACAGGTAAGATAATATTCAGTATGTATCCACTACCACACACTCTAAAAAGGTAAGATAATATTCAGTATGTATCCACTACCACACACTCTAAAGAAGGTAAGATAATATTCAGTATGTATCCACTACCGCACACTCTAAAGAAAGTAAGATAATATGCAGTATTTATCTACTACCACACACTCCTGAACAGGTTAGATTATATTCAGTATGTATCCACTACCACACACTGCAATAGGTTAGATGATATTCAGTAGGTATGAAGAACCACATACTCTTAAACAAGTTAGATAATATTCAGTATGTATCAACTACAATACAATCTTAAACAGATAAGAAAATATTCAGTATGTGTTAAGAAACACACACTCTCAAACAGGTAAGATTATATTCAGCTTGTATCAACTACCACACACTCTAAACAGGTGCGATAATATTCAATATGTATCAACTACCACACACTCTAAACAGGTGCGATAATATTTAATATGTATCCACTACCACACACTCTCAAACCGGTAAGATAATATTCAGTATGTTTCCACTATCTCACACTCTCAACAGGTAAGATAATATTCAGTATGTATCCACTACCAAACACTCTTAAACAGGTTAGATTATATTCAGTATGTATCCACTACCACACACTCTAAAACAGGTAAGATAATATTCAGTATGTATCCACTACCACACACTCTAAAACAGGTACGTTAATATTCAGTATGTATCAACATCCACACACCACAAAAGAGGTAATATAATATTCAGTATGTATCCACTACCACACACTCTTAAACAGGTTAGATTATATTCAGTATGTATCCACTACCTCACACTCTCAAACAGGTAAGATAATATTCAATATGTATCCACTACCACACACTCTAAAACAGGTAAGATAATATTCAGTATGTATCCACTACCACACACTCTAAAACAGGTAAGATAATATTCAGTATGTATCAACATCCACACACTCTAAAACAGATAAGATAATATTCAGTATGTATCCACTACCTCACACTCTCAAACAGGTAAGATAATATTCAGTATGGATCAACAACCACACATTCTGAAACAGGTAAGATAATATTCAGTTTGTATCCACTACCTCACACTCTAAAACAGGTAAGATTATATTCAGTATGTATCCACTAGCACACATTCTAAAACAGGTACGATAATATTCAGTATGTATCAACATCCACACACCACAAAAGAGGTAAGATAATATTCAGTATGTATCAACATCCACACACTCTAAAACAGGTAAGATAATATTCAGTATGTATCCACTACCACAAACTCTAAAACAGGTAAGATAATATTCAGTATGTTTCCACTACCACAAACTCTAAAACAGGTAAGATAATATTCAGTATGTATCCATTACCACACACTCTAAAGAAGATAAAATAATATTCATTATGTATCCACTACCTCACACTCTAAAACAGGTATGATAATATTCAGTATGTATCCACTTCCACACATTCTAAAAGAGGTAAGATAATATTCAGTATGTATACACAACCACATACTCTAAAGAAGGTAAGATAATATTCGGTAAGATAATATTCAGTATGTATCAACATCCACACACTTAAACAGGTAAGATAATTTTCAGTCTGTAATAATATCCACACACTCACTCTAAAAGAGTTAAGATGATATTCAGTATGTATCAACAACCTCACACACTGCAATAGGTTAGATGATATTCAGTAGAAATGAAGAACCACATATTCTTAAACAAGTTAGATAATATTCAGTATGTATCAAATACAATGCAATCTTAAACAGATAAGAAAATATTCAGTATGTGTTAAGAAACACACACTCTCCAACAGATAATATTATATTCAGCTTGTATCAATTACCACACACTCTTAAACGGGTCAGATATTATTCAGTTTGTATAAACAAGCACACACTCTCAAACAGGTAAGATCATGTTCAGTGTGTAACAACACCCACGTACTCTCAAACAGGTTAGACAATATCCAATATATATTAACAATCACACACTCTCAAACAGGTAAGATAATATTCAGTATGTATCCACTACCACACACTCTTAAACAGGTTAGATTATATTCAGTATGTATCAACAACCTCACACACTGCAATAGGTTAGATGATATTCAGTACGTATGAAGAACCACATACTCTTAAAGAAGTTAGATAATATTCAGTATGTATCAACTACAATACAATCTTGAACAGATAAGAAAATATTCAGTATGTGTTAAGAAACACACACTCTCAAACAGGTAAGATTATATTCAGCTTGTATCAACTGCACACACTCTAAACAGGTACGATAATTTTCAGTCTATAATAATATCTACACACTCTAAACAGGTAAGATAATTTTCAGTCTGAAATAATATCACAGACTCACTCTAAAAGAGTTAAGATTATATTCAGTATGTATCAACAACCTCACACACTGCAATAGGTTAGATGATATTCAGTAAGTATCCACTACCACACACTTTATAACTGATAAGAAAATATTCAGTATATGTTAAGAAACACACACTCTCAAACAGATAAGATTATATTCAGCTTGTATCAACTACCACACACTCTAAACAGGTACGATAATTTTCAGTCTATAATAATATCTACACACTCGAAACAGGTAAGATAATTTTCAGTCTGAAATAATATCACAGACTCACTCTAAAAGAGTTAAGATTTAAGATTATATTCAGTATGTATCAACAACCTCACACACCGCAATAGGTTAGATGATATTCAGTAAGTATCCACTACCACACACTTTATAACTGATAAGAAAATATTCAGTATATGTTAAGAAACACACACTCTCAAACAGATAAGATTATATTCAGCTTGTATCAATTACCACACACTCTTAAACGGGTCAGATATTATTCAGTTTGTATAAACAAGCTCACACTCTCAAACAGGTAAGATCATGTTCAGTGTGTAACAACACCCACGTACTCTCAGACAGGTTAGACAAGATCCAGTATATATTAGCAATCACACACTCTTAAACAGGTAAGATAATATTCAGTATGTGTTAAGAAACACACACTCTTAAACAGGTCAGATAATTTTCAGTGTTTTAAGAAACACACACTCTTAAACAGGTAAGATATTATTCATTTTGTATAAACAAGCACACACTCTCAAACAGGTAAGAATTTGTTCAGTGTGTAACAACACCCACGTACTCTCATTCAGTATGTATCCACTACCACACACTCTAAAACAGGTAAGATAATATTGAGTATGTATCCATTACGGCACATCACAAAAGAGGTACGATAATATTCAATATGTATCCACTACCACACACTCTAAAACAGGTATGATAATATTCAGTATGTATCCACTACTACACACTCTAAAACAGGTAAGATAATATTCAGTATGTATCAAGAACCACATTATCTTTAACAATTAAGATAATATTCAGTACTAACATCAATTATTGATGTTGGAGAGTAAGGAACGACATCTCTGGATAGGGACTGCAGTAAATGTTCACTTGTTGTTGGTGTTAAGGAGTGTAAGGATGTCAAATTGGGTAGAAATAGCAAACACAGATCACTTATCGATGTTAGTGAGTATAAGGAACGGCAACTGTAGGCAGAGACAGCTGTCATTGATAACTTGTCTGTGTAAGGGAGTGTAAGAACGTCAACTCTAGGTAGAGACAGCTGTCATTGATAACTTGTCTGTGTAAGGGAGTGTAAGAACGACAACTCTAGGTAGAGACAGCTGTCATTGATAACTTGTCGGTGTGAGGGAGTGTAAGAACGATAACTCTAGGTAGAGACAGCTGTTATTGATAACTTGTCTGTGTTGGGGAGTGTAAGAATGACAACTCTAGGTAGAGACGGCTGTCACTGATATTTATCGAAGTTATATTCAATTCTTCTAGTTAAGTCTCCACCTACTCTATCATTTGTTCTGTTTTCTTTTGTAGGAGCGTAATTATCTTGACGAGATATCACGATTGCGACATCTTCTAATGGACATTCAGCTAGAACGTCGGGCAGCCACTAGAAACATATCCTCCCATGAGTTCCGCTTAAAACTAGACAAATCTATATCACAACTTCATCATAGCTTTCACTACTCTTCTTTTATATTAGGAACATTCATTAAGACCCGAACACGATTTGTGCATGCTCTTTCTGAAATAAGGCAGGAAGTGGACACATTTCAAAATCTTTCGGTCATAGTTTCAAAATACAACTTACTGGCGCGTTTTGTACATGAAAACTTGATTCAGACCACATGTCACAACCAGATAACAACAGATGTATCGTTTGGAGGAAGTGACAAAGCATTTGAAGTGTTGACGAGTTTACAGGATGTTGACATCTACAATAGATTGAATTGTGCAATAGTGGTCAGTAACAACAGAATTCAACATCACACTTACAATAGTGCCATCTTAGAGAGCATCAACAATATTCGGGCGCAGAAGATGGCACTGGATTTTCGGGGAGTGACCACAGTGATGACAATACAGGAATGGGAATTTCTGGAGTCATTTAGACAACTACATATACACTTTCTGAAGAAAGATCACTATGGTGCACATGAATATATTTCACAAAACGATATCACATGTCGGGAGATCGATTATAAAATGAAACTGATCATTGATAATGTGAAGACATTGTCGGATGGTTTGTTTTCTAGACTGGTCGACAGATTGTGTGACAGACGTAGTAAGCTGATGCAGAAGATTGGGTTGTACACAGTGTCGATTCTTCTTTGTATCGTGTTGTTTGGTATGGTTTGTTTCCTGCATTACTGTGTCGTTAACAGATTAATGGTCCTGTGTCTCGTCGAGGACATCTTGGATAAACAGATGAGAAGTGAACGCGATAGACTATCCATGATTTTGCTGGAGGCGATACCCCCGGAATACATACCAACAGTTATGAATGGGATCGACAAAGTATATGTGAGCGAGAGATTGATGTCAAATGGAAAAAAACACCCACATCATTCATGTGGTGGTTTAAAAAATGCATTCGACTCTTTCGTCAAGACCATAAGAAATAGGTCAGTGGAACCAGAAGTTTCTTCTAATTATGACACATTTGAAATGTCCGATAAAATTGGTATTGAAGGCAACAAGGTACCTCTTCTGAAGTGTGTAGAGCAAAACTCAGCATTTGGTGTGCTAGAGAGCGTGTCCTTGTTCATGTGTGATTTCGTATATCTCAACGACCTAGTGGCCTTGTCTGAGCCAGACCAGCTCATTAACCTTGTCACGTGCCTTATTCAGATACTGGAGGCGAGAACCAAGCTTTATGATGTACATGTGCTGTGTAAAAACATAAATGAGTTCTCCGTTATTTCCGGTAAGTGAATTATCAAAAAAAAAAAAAAAACATCCCAGGCCTCCGATGTGCAATTTGACTTCCTTTCATTTGAATAAAACTTCCGTTATTTTTTTTAGTATCACTGACGTATCTTGGAAGGCAGAATTAGCTGTATCAGAATTTCTTTCATTACTTCCAATTTTAAATTTGTACAGTCTTAGCTATCGCAGGTTGTAGACAACACCAGCTGACTTTAGTTTGTCGTAGCTAACATGACACGTCTGAATTTATGCGAATAGTGATTAAAATAAAATTCAATATTCATATCTATATCTATATTCATATATTAATGCACCTCCCGTCTGGGTTCTAACATTTGTTTTCACCAATTTAGATTTCTACTGTCGCCCCTAAGATTTCAATAATTCAGGCCCTTAGCATCGGTGACGATTCCTTGAAGAACGAAACCGCGGTGTGATACGCTAATTTTATTCGGCTTTCTTATCAACTCTCCCGAAAGTCTTTTGTGCTGGTATTACTTTGAGTTTTCCTCGTGCGACCGTGTGTCCGTGCATGGAACATTTTTTGGTACGGAACTCTGAATTGGTTCAAGATAACTGCTGATAAATCAACCAACTTGCAATTTCAGTGGTATCAACAATTACTCCAAAAACTTTCTAAATAACAACCTGAAACTTTCTATACCTATGAAGGTAACAGTCTGATAATGATCTTTGTCATGGTGGAGCTCTCAATTTTTTTGTTAACATGAACAACAGTGGTACCTTTTTATATCATTACATAACGTACTTTTTCCATTAAATTTTCATTGTACAGTATGAACAGAAGATAGCCTCGATTAACTTTATAAATAATTCTTATATCTCTTTTATATATACCCCATAACATATTATACAACAAAGGGTATTAATTATGTAATTTTATTTGCGAATAATGCTAAACCATACTACAAAATATTAGTAAATAAAATGACTTCCACATATTCATACACAAAAGCAGTAACAGTTATGGAATAGCATCATTGACTTGTTGTATTATTAACATGCATACACTTGACCAGAAATTCGGAAACATCTATATCTTAATTTGGACTTAATTTTGTTCGTTGTATTTAAGGAAAAATACCGAAATGTTTATTTCGGCATCTATCGAAAGTATACACAGTCGGTAGGAAAACAAATTTACTGAACCAGAAATTGGTGGTTTCTAACCTATGGCCAAGTTAATATATGATTGCGAGACTTTCTTTAAAACAGCGGAGAGTGGGGAATAATGTCGGGCACTGCTTTATCTTGTTTTAAATTGTATAGAACGAGATTACCGTTGTTGTGTCTTTTGTAGTCTTTGAATAATAGTTGCATGCTTTAGTGTCTTTCGCAATTGTTGTAAAGTGTGATAAAAGTTTATGTGATGAGTGCATCAGTACTTGAGTGCTCTAGATCAGTGTGACTTGTGAGTGTTGTAGATCAGTGTGACTTATGAGTTCTTTAGATCCTTTAGATCTGTAGATCAGTGTGACTTGTGAGTGCTCTAGATCAGTGTGACTTGTGAGTGTTGTAGATCAGTGTGACTTATGAGTTCTTTAGATCAGTGTGACTTGTGAGTGCTCTAGATCAGTGTGACTTGTGAGTGCTCTAGATCAGTGTGACTTGTGAGTGCTGAAGATCAGTGTGGCTTGTTAGTGCTGAAGATCAGTGTGACTTGCGAGTGCTCTAGATCAGTGTGACTTGCGAGTGCTCTAGATCAGTGTGACTTGTGAGTGCTGTAGATCAGTGTGACTTGTGAGTGCTCTAGATCAGTGTTGTGAGTGCTGTAGATCAGTGTGACTTGTGAGTGCTCTAGATCAGTGTGTGTGTTATGAGTTCTTTGATCAGTCTAGATCAGTGTGACTTGTGAGTGCTCTAGATCAGTGTGACTTGTGAGTGCTTGTAGATCAGTGTGCTGCTGCTCTAGATCAGTGTGACTTGTGAGTGCTGTAGATCAGTGTGACTTGTGAGTGCTCTAGATCAGTGTGACTTGTGAGTGCTCTAGATCAGTGTGACTTGTGAGTGCTCTAGATCAGTGTGACTTGTGAGTGTTGTAGATCAGTGTGACTTTTGAATTCTTTAGATCAGTGTGACTTGAGAGTGCTCTAGATCAGTGTGACTTGTGAGTTTTTTTTAGATCAGTGTGACTTGTGAGTGCTGTAGATCAGTGTGAGAGTGCTCTAGATCAGTGTGACTTGTGAGTTCTTTAGATCAGTGTGACTTGTGAGTGCTGTAGATCAGTGTGACTTGTGAGTGCTGTAGATCAGTGTGACTTGCGAGTGCTCTAGACCAGTGGGACTTGTGAGTGCTCTAGATCAGTGTGACTTGTGAGTGCTCTAGATCAGTGTGAGTTCTTTAGATCAGTGTGACTTGTGAGTTCTTTAGATCAGTGTGACTTGTGAATGCTGTAGATCTGTGTGACTTGTGAGTTCTTTAGATCAGTGTGACTTGTGAGTGCTGTAGATCAGCGTGACTTGTGAGTGCTCTAGATCAGTGTGACTTGCGAGTGCTATAGATCAGTGTGACTTGTGAGTGCTGTAGATCAGTGTGACTTGTGAGTGCTCTAGATCAGTGTGAATTGCGAGTGCTCTTAACCAGTGTGACGTGTGAGTGCTGTAGATCAGTGTGACTTGTGAGTGTTATAGATCAGTGTGATTTGCGAGTGCTCTAGATCAGTGTGACTTATGAGTGCTGTAGACCAGTATGACTTGTGAGTGCTCTAGATCAGTGTGAGTTATGAGTTCTTTACATCAGTGTGACTTGTGAGTGCTCTAGATCAGTGTGACTTGAGAGTGCTGTAGATCAGTGTGACTTGCGAGTGCTGTAGACCAGTGTGACTTGTGAGTGCTCTAGATCAGTGTGACTTTTGAATTCTTTAGATCAGTGTGACTTGAGAGTGCTCTAGATCAGTGTGACTTGTGAGTTTTTTTTAGATCAGTGTGACTTGTGAGTGCTGTAGATCAGTGTGACTTGTGAGTGCTGTAGATCAGTGTGACTTGCGAGTGCTCTAGACCACTGTGACTTGTGAGATCAGTGTGACTTGTGAGTGAGTGCTTAGATCAGTGTGACTTGTGAGTGCTCTAGATCAGTATCAGTGTGATTTGTGAGTGCTTTTGATCAATGTGACTTGTGAGTGCTGTAGACCAGTGGGACTTGTGAGTGCTGTAGATCAGTGTGACTTGTGAGTGCTCTAGATCAGTGTGACTTGTGAGTGCTCTAGATCAGTGTGACTTGTGAGTGCTGTAGATCAGTGTGACTTGTGAGTGCTCTAGATCAGTATGATTTATGAGTTCTTTACATCAGTGTGACGTGTGAGTGCTGAAGACCAGTGTGGCTTCTTAGTGCTGAAGATCAGTGTGACTTGTGAGTGCTCTAGATCAGTGTGACTTGTGAGTTCTTTAGATCAGTGTGACTTGTGAGTGCTCTAGATCAGTGTGACTTGTGAGTGCTGTAGATCAGTGTGACTTGTGAGTGCTGTAGATCAGTGTGACTTGTGAGTGCTCTAGATCAGTGTGACTTGTGAGTTCTTTAGATCAGTGTGACTTGTGAGTGCTGTAGATCAGTGTGACTTGTGAGTGCTGTAGATCAGTGTGACTAGAGAGAGATATAGAGCAGTGGGACGTGTGAGGGGGGTAGATCAGTGTGACTTGTGAGTGCTGTAGATCAGTGTGTCTTGTGAGTGCTGTAGATCAGTGTGACTTGTGAGTGCTGTAGATCAGTGTGACTTGTGAGTGCTCTGACTTGTGAGTCTAGATCAGTGTGAGATCAATGTGACTTGTGAGTGCTGTAGATCAGTGTGACTTGTGAGTGCTCTAGATCAGTGTGACTTGTGAGTGCTGGAGACCAGAGTGACTTGTGAGTGCTGTAGATCAGTGTGACTTGCGAGTGCTCTAGACCAGTGGGACTTGTGAGTGCTGTAGATCAGTGTGACTTGTGAGTGCTGTAGATCAGTGTGACTTGTGAGTGCTCTAGATCAATATGACTTGTGAGTGTTGTAGATTAGTGTGACTTATGAGTTCTTTAGATCAGTGTGACTTGTGAGTGCTGTAGATCAGTGTGACTTGTGAGTGCTGTAGATCAGTGTGACTTGTGAGTGCTCTAGATCAGTGTGACTTGTGAGTGTTGTAGATCAGTGTGACTTATGAGTTCTTTAGATCAGTGTGACTTGTGAGTGCTCTAGATCAGCGTGACTTGTGAATGCTCTAGATCAGTGTGACTTGTGAGTGCTCTAGATCAGTGTGACTTGTGAGTGCTCTAGATCAGTGTGACTTGTGAGTGCTCTAGATCAGTGTGACTTGTGAGTTCTTTAGATCAGTGTGACTTGTGAGTGCTGTAGATCAGTGTGACTTGTGAGTGCTGTAGATCAGTGTGACTTGTGAGTGCTGTAGATCAGTGTGACTTGTGAGTGCTCTAGATCAGTGTGACTTGTGAGTGCTGTAGATCAGTGTGACTTGTGAGTGCTCTAGATCAGTGTGACTTGTGAGTGCTGTAGATCAGTGTGACTTGTGAGTGCTCTAGATCAGTGTGAATTGCGAGTGCTCTTGACCAGTGTGACGTGTGAGTGCTGTAGATCAGTGTGACTTGTGTGACTTGTGAGTGCTCTAGATCAGTGTGACTTGTCAGTGTTGTAGATCAGTATGACTTATGAGTTCTTTAGATCAGTGTGATATGTGAGTGCTGTAGATCAGTGTGACTTGTGAGTGCTCTAGATCAGTGTGACTTGTGAGTGTTGTAGATCAGTGTGACTTATGAGTTCTTTAGATCAGTGTGACTTGTGAGTGCTCTAGATCAGTGTGACTTGTGAGTGCTGTAGATCAGTGTGACTTGTGAGTGCTCTAGATCAGTGTGACTTGTGAGTGCTGTAGATCAGTGTGACTTGTGAGTGCTTTAGATCAGTGTGACTTGTGAGTGCTGTAGACCAGTGTGACTTGTGAGTGCTCTAGATCAGTGTGACTTATGAGTTCTTTACATCAGTGTGACTTGTGAGTGCTG